AGCATCCGCAGCACTACCGTGGAACCCAGGCGCTCCACCAGGGTAACCCCCGGTAGGAGCCCCTCCACTCGGGCCTCCAGAAGGCCCAGCGGGATCTTGGCCTCCACCATAATGTCCAGGACCTGGCGGTGGAGCTGGGGCATGTCCAGGCCCACCACTTCCGCCCCCACCTTGACCAGGTGGTCCGCCTTGCCCACCACCTCCCCCGGGAGGAGGAGGAGGGGGCGGTCCAGCTTGAGCGCGTTCATGCCGAATATTGCAGCGTGCACATCGCTCAAGGCCGTCATTTCCGAAGTAACTGTGATTCTCACAGACGTGAGTCCCACAATCCGTACAGAGATACATGGAGACCTCCTGAGCATTCTTGCGGCATGCCCAGCATTTCATCTTCAGGAACTGACAATTGCAACAGTCCCCGTCGTCACCACGGCAAAGCCCGCAGAATCACGACTGCATGTCACACACGAGAATTCAGCATTCGGGTGCCTACGGTCGTTGGGATCATCGAGGGCACAAATCTTTGGCGCTCTGGGCCATCACCGCCGGGAGCCCCTCTTGCAGCCGGCGCTGAGGCCTGTCCACGATCCGACGGAGCTCCGGTCCCTCGCCTATCGCCGAGACTCTGGGTGTCGGCGCTGGCTCTACTCCCAGGAGTCCTCCACTCATCACCAGGACTCTGGATGTCGGCATGAACCCTATTACCCCCACCACCTCCTGAATGACGACCTGGGTTCGGAGAGACGTTCCCGCTATCGCGGATTGGCCTATCAAAACTCGGAGAGACGCTCCCGCTATCGCGGATTGGCCTCTCCCCCCTCGGTTGTCGACTCCGGACCTCAGATCCCCTATCGGGGACGGCAGCAGGCCTCGGGCTCCTATTCCTACCCGCATCCCTATTGGGGGAAATAGAAACGTCCCCCCTTGCGCGCGCGCGGGGACCACCCCTTGCACGCTCCGGTGGCGAATGCGACCTGTCAGGCAACCCCCGAACCCTCCTGCTCCTGCTGTCGGACCTCTCCCTAACGGGATAGATTGGATGCCTGTCTGCGCGAGAAGGATCGACCCTATCGGGCACATTCGGCAAAACATGATCAGGCAAAACAACGCCTCCGCCTGGTCTCACCGGCAGGCCAGTACCCCGGCCGTCACCTTCCCCTGGTGTAGGCGTCGGTGACCTGATCCTATGTCCTTGCCCCGCAAATGCATGGTAACCAACATTCCGTCTTTCTCTGGGTTGTGGAGGAGCTTCATTAATCTGCTGGACACCCTGAATAATGCCAGCAGCCTCGTCAAATTGACCCTCCATCTCAAAGAGCTGGGACATGATTCTGTTGTTCGCGGCGCTAAGGTTACGTACGTTACCATCGATAGTGCTGACTCTCCGCATAACACCTTCAAGTGTACTCCGGAATGTGCCGAGCTCTCGCCTAACGGCAGGCTGCACTTGGTCACTGCTGGCAGGAAGATTACGGATCTGTCCTTGGATGCCATCAACGACCCGATTCACAACTGCCGATCTCGCTTCATACTGTTCAACATGTGATTTCACGGTTTCAAACCTAGAAATGATGTCGTCATGATCCCGACGTTGACGTTGAATTCCTCGAGCCAGATCCTGCATCTTCCGATTGATCTCGTCAACAGCCTCATGCCAGTCCTGCGGGGAATCATGCCCTGATGGTCTATCGACCTCCTGAGAACCCCTTCCACTCTGCAGTCTAGACACTCGATTAACAAGACGAGTGTGCTCCTCTTTGACCCCCTCAATAGATTCAGAGGCCCACTTGGCAAATGTCTCGTGATCAAGGAGAGCTTTCTCGATCTTCAGGTTTAACTCCCTGAAATTTGCATCGACTACACTGCCGCTGGCCCTATCGGACGGATGCGCGACAGGGTTCGGGTTCCATACACCTGCCGGGGTCCGCATCCCAACGGCTTTCTCTACCGAGAACATCCGTTTCTCAAGCTTGTCCAAATCCTTAAGGGTCTCGTCCTCAGAAGCAGCATGGCTTCTGCGGGCAGCCTCACTATTCTCCTGAATCATCAGGCGAAGCCGATCAGTCGATGCCTCATTGTCCCTGACAGATTCATGGACCTCGTGGGACAGTAGGTTAATCCTCTGCTCCACGACCTCGGCTTGCTCATCGATGGCTTGCCTCACAATGGCCTTGCTATCGGGAATAACTTCCCTTGCGAACCGTTGAACTATCATTCGCATCCTCCCGGCATCAGATTGAGTCGCAACCTCAGCTGCCAGGCGATCGACCTTGTCCTTCGTCCGTTGACGTCGCTCCATTCCCTTCGCATGGAACTCACCTGACCGTTCAGTACCCTGATTTGGTCAGCAAAGATGTGGAACGCCTTCGCGACTGAGCCAGAAACCTCACCTCTCTCGAGCATCTCCTGGATGTGCAAATCGAACACCTCCTTCGCCCTAGCGTCACCTGATTCGCCGGAAGACTGGGATCTGAGGGCGGGAGGAGTCGATATCTCGATCCTCTCAGGAGCCCCACTAGCCCCGGCATGTCTTCTGGGGTCATCCACGGGACAATCATCAATCCTGGATGGTCTACTCGGGGTAGATCCCCTTCTCCGGCTATCGCCAGATCGAGGATCAATGTTGGATGCACGCGACTCGGGGGTGGAGTGGATGTGAACATCAGCGGGATCGGGCATCTCCTCATCCTGCGGAGTTGAATCCATTGGTGAGGGGCTAGCCCTCCTCGCCTTTGACCTATCGGTCTCAGCGGCGAGAGGTGACGGTCTCTTCGCAGAAACACTACGTTCCCTGGCAGTCGAACCCCATTGAGGTGTGAACTCGTTGCTAGACCTCAGAGTTTCAAGATCACTGGTATCTCGCCCTAACGGGCTAGCGATCGACGGACGATCTTCGATCCCGAGTGCATCGGCAAGCCGACCATCTCTGGCACCTGTCCTAACAACATCGGCAGCCCGCTCAGTGATCCTCGGTGAACCAGTAACCCGGTTCGAGTTCACGTCTCTCTGACTCAACGGACCTCCAAATGTGATGTTGGGAAAGGGGGGAACATTCGGGGAATCACCAATCGCCGGGGGACCTACCGGTCCCTCGCGGTCATGAATGGCCTCCAATCCCCGAAGAACTTCCCGACTGTCCCTGGCTCTCTCTCTCTCGCTTCGGGCATCCCTGTCAACGCGAAGGTCCCTGGCGGCTCCACGAGAGAGGCTCCTGGGCCTCGCAGCATCACGGATCCTAGCATTTCGTCGTGGTTGGTCCTCCTCCTCATCACGGCGATCCGCAAATGCGGCATACTCGTCATCATCATCGACCTCAAACTTGGCAGCGGCGGGACTAGTCCTTGCAGTCTCACGGCTGCCTGCATCTCGGCGCGAATGGCTCTCCTCCTCATCCGCAAAATTGTAATCTTCGCCATCATAAGACTCAGATTTGGCAGTATTAGGGTTGGGCCTACCGGCATCAGATCCCTGCTTTGAGCTACTGCCCCAACCTGCGGTTGATTTCAACAGATCATCGTATCCGAAGTCCGTGAATTTCCGCTCCTCGTGCTCATCAAACTGACCTGGATTTTGAGAACCAGTGGATCGGCCCGGGATACCTCCCGGAGCCAGAACCATAGTCCCTGGTCCCTGCGGCCTATTCTCAAACTCATCCGAGACCTGCGACTCACCTGGAACAAGAGATCTCGGAGGTCGAATCGGCATGGCCTCCGGGTCATCCGAATGAGGGCGGGCCATGTCCATCGCCATGCTGATGAAGTCAAAACGTCCACGCCTATGACCTGATTCAGAGCCACTCCTATCGGAGTAAACCCTTCGTGTCTGCTCGTCATCAGTGGCCTGGCGGAAAATACGATCGTCTCCATCGTCGGCGTACCTGCCACGGCTCCTGGGTGTATCCCTACCGGGATCTTCACCCCTGCGGTCCTGACCTGTTGAACCTGCTTCGAAATCCTCGTAGTCATAGTCCGGCAGGTCCTCACCTGAGCGGAGGCCACCTAGGATGGCCTCCTCATCCACGACGCTCCTGCGAGATCGTGGGGTCGACATAGAGCTTGTAGTTGATGGTCTCAAGCGCGTAGGAAAGTCCTACGGCTGATAACCTGTGATTCGGGCACGAGCCTGTGCCCAGGCAATGGGTAAGTTGGGGTAAACAAGCCACAAAAGAAAGGTTCCCCAAAAGCAAACCAATCCCCGGTCCCAAAGATCAGGGTTTCCCACACACCAGAGAACAACAACCAAAGGAAAACAAACCAAACAAGAAAAGGGTTAACCCGCAACCTTGGTCGACAACAGGCCGCACGACTGGTCCCTACCAACCTGGCGGCGGCCCGAGGTCTCTTTCTCCCCCGAGATGCCGTCGGTCGACGCAGGGGTTCGGCGACGCCCATTCGAGGCGCGACGGAACCCAAAACTTGAGCCAAAACACCACAGGTCGGTCACTAACGCGACATCCCTGATGATGATATTAACCATGGCTAATCACAGATTATGTTGTTTGGGGGTGATCGCTAAGTGTTTGACCCAAGGAACTGCAGACCAGTATTAAAACAACCTGCTTTGGGTTTCCTTTTCATTTGGACCAGGTGTCGTGGTGTTCAAACTAATGTTGCCCAACCCTTGTTTGCGGGGGCTTGCTCCCCAAAACAACATAGAACCTTAAAACCATTATGTGCAGCGAATTGTTCTTTTTGGGGACTTCGTGTTGAGGTTCAGGGGGGGTAACTTGAGCTTGACTGGGGCTTGCCAACCACTTAGTTAGCTAACTCCTGAATTCCTTCTTATGTCCCTTTTAACATCCCCGCCCAAGGCAAAGCATTCAAACAGGTGCCTTGCGATAGTTTTCACCTGAAAATGGAAACTGAGTTTTTTTGGTCTTCCTAACCCTTGGTATGGTAGCAAAAACACGTTGTTTGTTGCAGCCCCATTCCAAAAATGAACAGAACAACTTACCAAGAACAGTGAAGTGAACCCAAAGGACCGTCCCGGACGATCGACCAATCCTGCACCGCCATATCCTCAGGACATTGCACCGCCCAGTGCATGAGCCGCGTCAAGCTCTCCTGCGCCTCCTGAAGCAATGGAGGCGCATCTCCGCACCAAAACAGCTGTCTCACACATGCAGCCTAAGGGGTGTCTCTCTATAAACACCACTCCAAGAAGTAAGCTTAGGTTCTGGAATTCTCCGGAACCCTCTCTGCTCCGAACCACAACCAAGCTGCTTAGGGCACCGCTAACCTTCCAGCTGAGAAAAATCGATGAAACCGAGGGGGGTTCTCTAAATCGTGGTCCTCTACAACATTTGGTATTTGTTTGGTATCATTTTGTGCAACCCCCAAATCCGATTCCTGCAGCCCAGGAGGACAACCCTGGATTGCAAACAGTCACGGGGTTGATTGCCAGCCGGAAATGGGTTTGCTATTGGGACGATAAAGGCGACGGGCCCCCAGTGTAGAACTTCCCGGTTTATGCTAGTGAGGGTGGTGCAAAGACTAGAAGCCTCCATCCAGAACCTGAAAGTTCGGTTTGGGTTCGAACAGGCAAAGCCTCCTGACTCCTGAAGTCTGTTTCAAAGAGAAACAACCAAGAGCAAATTTGAGAGCTCAACATTTCCGGGTGCTTTTCTAAGGATATCCTTACAGTGGCTGAAAGCTTTCGGGGGTCCCCGATTTTGACGCAGAATACCATGGAACATGAAACATGTTGCAACCCGGGTGGCTCAGTCAACGTCAAGGTACCTTGGAAACATCGTGCCGAGACACGAACCGAACCCTGGGTTGATTGAACTAATTCACTTACCCGCGTGTAATCGGTGCCATCTTTTTTTTGCCCCTCCGATCGTTTAGTTTGAGCCATACCCATCTCGTCCTTGATGATCCTCAGCGCCTCCCTGTGCCGGTATCCCTCCGACAAGTAGGCGGCGAAGACCAGGCGCACTTTGCAGGCTTCCTCAACCGGATGGGCTTGTTACTGGGGTCTGAACCTCGGTCAATCTATGTGGCAGCCAGCCCCCCGATCTGTATCCCAAGGTTCGGCTCAATCAATCTGAAGCAAGTGATTCCGCTCTGTCGGGTGTGTTCGGATCCTACACGCAGCTTCGGACTCTGGATTCCGGTTCCCAACAAAGCAAGAACACCTTGCAGGGGACCAAACCAACCCCGCAAGGTGTAGGTGGGCCCAAGCCTATAGAGTCTCAGCATGTCTCCAACAAAAGCAGCCCAAGAAGCCGGTAAGACCATCTACACGCGCAGTTTGCTGGGTGAAAGCAAGGCCCTCAAAATCAAATTGCGCCGATGTTTTGGAGCCTGACCTGCAGGCCTCGCACTGCCCAAACGAAACAACTATTTTTGACGAAGCCTCCTGTGAAATGTGCCCCAGGCAGAAGAAACTTATGCAGGGCGGGGTTGAAGAGGTCACTTTGGGCCACTCCTCGACCAACATTCTGTCCCATCACAAGTTTCTCTATGAAGTGTGCCCAATCGTAATTAGCAACACTTGGTTGCAAGAGTTGAACGAACTACAGTCTGCTGATAAGCACTGGACTGGCTAGATGGAAATACATGTCGTGCAATGCAACGCGCCGCATGTACAAACAATTCATGTTGTTGCAAACGTGACATTGAAGGAGGCACAAAAAACGATATTCGCCATGGGTGGGGCCACAAGGAACCAAAAGCTTGCGTCTGAACATGGGCTCCGCAAACTGCGGCAGACATGCATCTTCCACTTGAGCCAGCCTAACCGCTGCCTTTCTGAGCGGGGCCAAGGCAGCCAAGGCTGCCAGAGACCGCACTTTGCCCGCGGCAAGTGTTTGCCCTGTGTGTAGTATCTGACATTCGATTTTCGCTTGGTCTTGATGTACTCAGACTCGGCCGTTGCTTTGGTAACCTTACCAGTCTGCTGCAAAGATGTGACCCGATGAAGCGATTCGCTGAAAGCACTTCATGCAACAGCGTTGGTCTTCTGGAAGGTGGTGGCAATTTTGGCCACTTGCAAGTAACCATGTCCTTGATGGAGCTCGTTTGCACGCCCGTCCTCGCGCTTGCACACAATCTGCACTCAAATGTGGCACACCATGAGCCGCTTCTGAGACATACGGACAACTCGTCCTCACCAGATGGGGTCCGAGAAAGGCCAAGGCTTGGGCTTGCAAAAGGCGAGGGTGGTGTCTCTTTGGTTTTTCAGCCAACACCAAGGTGCGTTCCACAGAAGACAAGACCCAGCATGGAAAAGTCAGGGGACGATCGGGTTTTATCTTGAGGCGTGCCGCACTGGGTGCTGAATAGGGGCCTGGGAAAAAACAAACAAACCACCCATCCCAGCAAAGTCAAAAAGAACCCAAACTCAAGGTTTTCCTTCGAAAGACACCTTTAGTCGGGTTTAGAAACTAGAAGGCTCCAATGTTTGCCTTGGACAAGTCGAGGATCTGATGATCCCATGTTTGGAAATCAAGGGCCTCCATCGAAGCGCGCTTTGATACCCATCCCCGCAAACTTAGTTCCTTCACCAACCCTTAAGATGAGAAAGGATCCTTCGAGACTTTGTGCAGCACGACGCCCGCACACCTTCCTCAAGGGCCTGCATCTGAGGGTCCCTCACCACATCACCCAAATTCAACATTTGCTGCTTGCACTTGTCCCAGCCCGGCTTGCACAAACCAACAAATCTGAAAACGTAGACGGCTCCCGTGTAGGACACACTCGTGATGGTTGACAGGCGGAAATTTCTTAGGTACCTCCGGGGCCCTGGAAGCCAACTGGTTAAGCCCGCCCAACCAACGAGGCGCCAAGGCCAGGGTGGGATGCTCCAGCTCTGAGCGCTGGGTGATCATCAAGGCGCGCTCCATCATCCTGACGCCATCAAGCACATCTTGCTGGTGGTCAGTTGGCAGGGAATGACCGAGACCGGGTGTTGTGAATGAACCGCTTGGGATTTCCCTGAAAGGAAACCAAAGGGGACGGTTGATATGGGTCATTCCATTTCTCTTTCCTGCTGAGAACCGGCAACTCATGGGCAGGGGTCACCGGGTTCTCCCGTCAAAAGTGCGAATTCCAACATGGGGTTTTTGAGGGAACTCTGCTTGGTCTGCGGTTGGACTGGTGTGGCCCATCCGGCAAAATGTATGAACCCCCCCTCCCTCCAGCGAAACCATGGCGAGAGCTCGTGCTTTGGAATATGGCCATTGCTTCCTCTACAAGTCCCCGCACGACGGTTATACAACAAAAAGGGCTCATGACCAGACCAGCCCAGCTCACATGAACCCTGGTATGAAACCCACGTTAAAAGGCACCTGAAAGGGATTTAGTGTCCTCTCGTTCTTGGCTTACACCCCCTGCTTGTGGGATAGAAACGTGCAACCCATGGTTTTGCAGATGGTTCCTGTGTGAGTCTTTAGTTGATGGTTCCTGTTTGAGTTCCGTCGCGAGATTGCACGCCTTAATTCGTAGAGTAGGGTTCCTTGCCAAAGGTTCAGTAGACCTCCAAGGGCGAGAGGGGGCGCCATCGGAGCCAAGGGTGCTGTGTTCAATGGCCGGGGATAATTAGCTCCCACATGCAGCTCCCCTTGGCCCACAACAAAACAAGCAGCCGCAAGCTGATGTTCATAAACCACCCAAGGAGAAAAACCAAAAAAATGAAACCCTGAAATACCCTCTATAAGACAGGCCTTACTCAGTTGCCAACAGCATCCAGAAATGAAAGGTTGACCTTTTGGGGCCATAACTAAACCATGACCCAACAAGGGAAACCAAAAAGGTCAATTCGCTTTGGGCAAGTGAGTTTGAGGATGCTGGAGGTTCCCAATTAGAGGGACAGGCCCAAATCATTCCTGGCACGCGCAAAGTTGGCGATGCGTTTCGACCTTGTCACCCCCCAACAGGGAAGAAGGGCACCTTGGCCATTGATTTATGGAAGCTGCTGAACCAACCCCGCGGAAAAAATAAAAGAAGTCTGGGACAAATCCATTCGTTGGCTTCCCGTTCTTTCCTTGTGGTTTTCCCTTGGAACCGCCAACCGAAAGCGCTAAACAAATAGAAAGCACCGCACCTGCGTGATTGGACACCTCCAGGCTCGTTTGCTCGTGTGGGTAAATTGGGATTTTCAGCTTGTTTGCGACAACCCAAGGATTTCCTTTGGTTTCCTCCGGTTTCCCCGTTTTTCCCTACCACCACACCAAAGCGCCAAAACACACTGGCGCTTCACGAGCGAGGTAGACCTCGGTTTCTGCGTCTCTCCTGATGGCGCGGGAGATGAGGCCCTTCTCTCGCAAGCCCTGGGCCATTGCGGTGTACTGCACAGCCGTCTCGAGGCTCTCCTGCGGCGTCACAGAGCCAGGGGGGTGGGGGGGAGGGGGGTGGGGGTCCCCCAGTTCCATCTATCTAGTTGTTTTTGTTGTTTAAGGGAAAATGGAACTATATAAATGGAATTCCAGTCACCCCCCTCCCCCACTTCCATTTTCAAGGAAGGTGGGATGCGGCCTGCATGGCCCGCATCGCCACATGGGCCGTTCGGAGGGTAGCCCTTAAAGAGTCACTGCTAGTCAGTTTCGCGGCGCCCTTGCGAGTGGGCAAAGGGCAGGGATTTTCTTGTGAGTCTTCTCGTGTTGGTGGGAAATACATCCAGTGAGTCCCCATGGGGGTCTAAACGCATGAAGCATTATCCCCAAACCTTGGAAGGTTCGAAAGGAGTCGTGTGAGAAACGCTTAAAGCTTTCTTGGGAGTAGCGGGCCGCAATGCCCCTCTTGAATTCGTAGCAATGTCCGTATCACAGCGGTTGGGAACTACGCTAAAACCGTGTATGAAAGCATGCCAGCAATAATTACACTTCAATTTCACGTACGGTTTTCACTCCACCGTGAGCCCCAGTAGTAGTGGTTGGGGGGAACCCAATAAAACTTGAGCCGGACACCTGCTTGGATTTTTGCAGAAGGGCTGCCCTGTATATCAAATTCTGGCAAGGCTGCCTCAAAACACCCCGCCGCAACGATTTGGGCCGAACAAGAGTTTGGTAAGCCTGCCTGCGGCCAAAGAAGGTCGAATGAAAACGAACAAGACCGTAAATGAAGACTTGGATCCAACCCCCCACCTTCAGAAAGCAATCAGCGAAAAGGCAGCCGCAGCAATTATCGCGGTCCGCATTGCCCTGGTTCCTACAACAAAAGGTGTTCGTTAAAGCGTTGTCCGTCCTATTTGACCGGATCATGCCCCAGCCATTCCGTTTGACCGGCGCGTGTATGCGCACGGCTCATGTTTGGATAGCTTTACGCGGGGAAACCACAAGTGAAGCAGAGTAAAGCACTATTTCAGAGAAATGAAAACAGGCCGAAAAAGGCTTTCAGGTGGGTGCTCCCTGCAGAAAATGCCAAGCATGGTTGGTCCCTTCAGCTTTCCACTGAACTGATTTAATGCCGAAACAACACTCAGACCTCCCCAACCACTTGTGGACTTGAAGCAACATGTCCTGCACATCTCCGGTGGCCACGCTCAAGGAGGACCAGGTAATCTCCTTGGGCCTCAGAATTCATTCCGGCGCTGAGACATCGAACTCGGCTGGCTCGATAAATCCATGTTGACCCTGGATCAAACAGAAAGGTATTAATTCGGGGTTCCAATTGCATGGACAACTGGCAATATTACCACAACAAGGGCGCCCTACCATCAATAATCGATGCGCATGATCATGGCCAGTTTCGACACTTTTCGGCCCCTCTGATGATTTCCCGCCCACTACTACCCAGCCGTTCTTATGGTCCATATTCAGCGAAGCTGAACATGCCCCCTCCCCCCGCCCCCCACCCAACCTACCTTGGCCCCCCACTCCCAATCTACTTTGGCCCCCTTTTGGCCTGAATTGCTACCGCTTGGTGGTAAGATAGATAACTGACCTGCTGGGTTGATAAGCAGATAGAGGCAGAGAAAGACAGAGAGAAGGACAGAAAGACAGAAGAGAAACGAAGAGACAAGGAAAGAATGCATGAAAAGAAACAAAATGAACGAGGACAAAGAGCAAGAAAAGACAACGAATTGAAATTTCCCCCCACCGGCTCGGCCGGCTCTATTGCTATAAACATCATAGGCTAGATTTGTTGTTCGCTTTAACAAGTCGTTCAGCCTATCTTAATTCAATATATATATATATGTATATATATATGTATATATATATATATGTGTGTGTAGCCCTTATTCTTAGAGTGCTTCAAAGTTTACACGGGGATTCTTTGAATCAGCTTGGTTCTTTGATGGTTCCATGGGTGAGATGTGAGGGCACAGCCATCCTATGGAAGGGAAAGCTAAAGCAAGGGCCCCTAACACCAACTTGCAACCAAAAGCTTCCAAAGCAACGAGTGAAACTTTGGGTAGAAAACGGTCCCTACCCATAAGTGTCCAGACATATTGAGGCTTGGAGGCTAGAAGGAGCCAAACACGCTTTCAGCCCCCGACTCTTCCTTCTTTGGAGTCATAGTCCTCTCCAGCTCCGATGTCACCTGAACCGACGCTTCCTTCACAAAGGAGTTTCCTGCCAAATGATGGCTTTTGCGTTCCATTTTGAGCTGCAGGAGAGTAGCTCTCTCACACTCCACCCCTTCTTTTCCAGGAGTCCCATCGGGGTAGTGGTTGTACTGTTGCAACCCAAAGAGACCGTAATTTATCTTTTCTCAAACGGCGCTGGCATTCTGCTTGTGGTCTGCATCCCGGGAGATGCCGAGGGGGGATGAGGGAGGTGATTGTCCTTGCGTTCTCCCCGTGCGAACCGTCCCACACTGGCCGAATGCCCACCTGCGTGTCGGAGGGGGTCGCTGGGCTATCTGCCTGACGTGTCAAGGACTGTTCAAGCAGCGAAAAGGGCGCATCTCGCCACGCACGAGATCATGCAGGGGCCAGAAACAACAAACCAAACTCGACAGACGCAAACAACATCTGCTGCGAGTTCGTTAAAGCTATGGCAAGTGTCCAACTGCAAGGGCGCCGGCATACAAGTCTGCGGGGGACACTCATAGCCCGCGCAACACTGCATCCGAAGTCCCACCTGCGTCTCAGAGGGAGTTGCTGGGCTGTCTGCCTGACGCGGCCAAGACTGTTCGGTCTGACTATCCAAAGTGTCAAGTGTCAAGTGTGAGAAACGCTCTTCACGGCTCCTAATCGTATGTTCTCGCAAGCTAGAACAGACCAACTTCACCCAACCAACCCGACCCAAGTATCTCAAAAGTCATGTCTGACAAACAACAGGGGATGGCGAGTGACCGGAAGCTCCCCAGTTAGTCCACGGTGCACAAAGTGTAACATCCGAATTCCCACCTGCGTCTCAGAGACTAAACTCCCCTTTTAGTCCATGGCGTACACCATGCAACATCCGAATTCCACCTGCGTGTCAAAGGGAGTTGCTGGGCTGTCTGCCTGACTCGAGGAAGTGAGTCAAGGAATAATAAGTGTCAAGTCGGATGGACGTGACATCTTGCCAGAGCTATAGCTAACCAACTCCAGTCGAACGACCTTAAAATGAACTCCTACCACTTCTGCCTGAGGGCAACTCACGCCAGTGTGAACAGTGTATAACCGTTCAACAGCGACAATAACCCACGCGATGCAGCATCCGAACTCCCGCCTGCGCGTCAGCGGGGGTCGCTGGGCTTTCTGCCTCACACCAATTAATGCAAAGTAGCTGGCGCTTGCTCACCGCTTGTGAGATCTCGCAAGGAGAGCTGACCAACCCCACTAAAGGCAGATGTGGGCAACTCATGCCGGTGTGAACAGCGTCCAACCGTTCACCCAGAGTCACGCAACGCAGCATCCGAATTCCGAACCTGCGTGTCAGCGGGGGTCGCTGGGCTTTCTGCCTGACACAGCCAAGAGTGTCAAATAGAAGTGGGTCAAACAATGCAGACTCCCCAGTGTCACGGCGCTTCGTTTGCTCTGCACTCATGAGATCTGGCAAGGGTTAGAACTGGCCAACTCTACTCGAACGACCTTAAAAACAACTCCTACCATCTTCTCCCTCCATGACACTCCTCGACGTGCCGCGATGCGTCGCGCACTCAAGGCGCACACGCCGCGCGAAGTGTCCTGTGTGCGTGCATTTGGACTATACCGCCTCATAATGCGTGCAACGCAAACCACTCATGGGCTTTTATGTGAGAACACGCCTGCATGGTGGAAGCATGCGTGAGCGTTGCACGGTGGACAAAGGCATGTTTGAACGCTTGGTGGTTTGCAATCTATTCAAAATGGCATGCTTTCTGCCTCAAACACCGCTGGAGCTGGACAGCTAACTAATGCGCCAATAAATGGCCTTGCAGGCACGCAAGCGCAAAACCAGCAATCCTATGTTTTCCCGAGTGCTTTTACAACTGTACCTATTTCGTAACTTTTAGCGTCTTTGCACAACTGTGTATAGCCTTGTCTAATTTCTTGCAACTTCTGATGGGTCGGTCAGGCTTGTGGCCCACAAACCCCCGACCCCCTGCAGTAAGCGTTGATGTGAAAGTTCTGCATAAATTTGACTCTTCGCTTGACCTTTCTAAGCGAGCTCGAGCAGTGATATTTTCTTGTTTCTCTCTCATGCCAGGCAGGCGCTTCAAACTTCTCAAGTTTGCCCAGCCAAAACTCAGTACGCAAAAAGTTGCAGAAAGTCACAGAACGTCATCAATAGCTATAAGCAAGTATGCGTAGCATTACAAACAGTTCTCAAACAAAGTTATGGAATACCACCAACTAAAATATAACTACCAAGTCTGGTACATGTAGCTTATCTTCAGCGAACCACTACATACATCTGTCTGTGGGAAACTCAGGGCAGTGTGAAAAGTGTCCAACTGTGCCGGCACACGATCCAGCAGCAACCCCACCCGTTGGAACTGATTCTGTCCACGGCCGACGCAACGCATCCGAATTCCCGCCTTCGCGTCAGCGGGGGTCGCTGGGCTTTCTGCCTCACACCAATTAATGCAAAGTAGCTGGCGCTTGCTCACCGCTTGTGAGATCTCGCAAGGAGAGCTGACCAACCCCACTAAAGGCAGATGTGGGCAACTCATGCCGGTGTGAACAGCGTCCAACCGTTCACCCAGAGTCACGCAACGCAGCATCCGAATTCCGAACCTGCGTGTCAGCGGGGGTCGCTGGGCTTTCTGCCTGACACAGCCAAGAGTGTCAAATAGAAGTGGGTCAAACAATGCAGACTCCCCAGTGTCACGGCGCTTCGTTTGCTCTGCACTCATGAGATCTGGCAAGGGTTAGAACTGGCCAACTCTACTCGAACGACCTTAAAAACAACTCCTACCATCTTCTCCCTCCATGACACTCCTCGACGTGCCGCGATGCGTCGCGCACTCAAGGCGCACACGCCGCGCGAAGTGTCCTGTGTGCGTGCATTTGGACTATACCGCCTCATAATGCGTGCAACGCAAACCACTCATGGGCTTTTATGTGAGAACACGCCTGCATGGTGGAAGCATGCGTGAGCGTTGCACGGTGGACAAAGGCATGTTTGAACGCTTGGTGGTTTGCAATCTATTCAAAATGGCATGCTTTCTGCCTCAAACACCGCTGGAGCTGGACAGCTAACTAATGCGCCAATAAATGGCCTTGCAGGCACGCAAGCGCAAAACCAGCAATCCTATGTTTTCCCGAGTGCTTTTACAACTGTACCTATTTCGTAACTTTTAGCGTCTTTGCACAACTGTGTATAGCCTTGTCTAATTTCTTGCAACTTCTGATGGGTCGGTCAGGCTTGTGGCCCACAAACCCCCGACCCCCTGCAGTAAGCGTTGATGTGAAAGTTTTGCATAAATTTGACTCTTCGCTTGACCTTTCTAAGCGAGCTCGAGCAGTGATATTTTCTTGTTTCTCTCTCATGCCAGGCAGGCGCTTCAAACTTCTCAAGTTTGCCCAGCCAAAACTCAGTACGCAAAAAGTTGCAGAAAGTCACAGAACGTCATCAATAGCTATAAGCAAGTATGCGTAGCATTACAAACAGTTCTCAAACAAAGTTATGGAATACCACCAACTAAAATATAACTACCAAGTCTGGTACATGTAGCTTATCTTCAGCGAACCACTACATACATCTGTCTGTGGGAAACTCAGGGCAGTGTGAAAAGTGTCCAACTGTGCCGGCACACGATCCAGCAGCAACCCCACCCGTTGGAACTGATTCTGTCCACGGCCGACGCAACGCATCCGAATTCCCGCCTGCGCGTCAGCGGGGGTCGCTGGGCTTTCTGCCTGACACAGCCAAGAGTGTCAAATAGAAGTGGGTCGAGCAATACAAACTCTCGAGAGTCATGGCGGTTGCTCACCGCTCATGCGACCTTGCAAGGCTAGAACTGACCAGCTCCACCTGACCGACCCCAAGCACATCTATCTGATGCTCGTGCACTGGCGGGCAAACCAGCAGCTACTAACACCACGGCGCAAGCACGCGAGTCAGCAGGGGAATCCTCCCTTGGTCGACCTCTCTTTGTCCGTAGATTAGAATAAGGGTACCCTTTTCTTCTGCAGTCTATTTCAGAGGGGAACTCTCCCCAAAAAAAGGGCAAGAGGGCACTACGGGGGGACCTAGACAAAATCCGAATTTCCACAATTTCCACCTGCGTGTCAGCCGGAATTGCCGGGCTGCCAGCCCGGCGCGGGCCAACAAATGCACAATGCCAAGCAAAACTGCTCTTGCTCGCTGGTGATCTCAGAAGGGTCAGAACTGACAAGCTCAACCGGACGGATCTGCCTTCTTGCTTTGGCAACTGCATTTATCTTGTTCCGCATCCATCCATGTCTTCCCGGTCACCGGGTTGTCAAAAATCAAGTTTCGCGGATCGCCCAATTCCATCACAATGCCCGCGCCCCTGCGCAGCAGCCAAAAGACTCAGTCCCAGCATCTCAGCGCCCAACCCTTCGGACCCTTGGCCAAACGCCTGGATTGGGGAAACGTAAAGCATACGGCAACAAACCAAACAAAAAAAGGCAACAATCCAAGAAATGCAAGAAACCAAGAAATTCGGCAGGCCAATATGCGTTTTGTTGGTTGGCGATAGTGTGCTTGATTTTCTTGAAGCAAGTTTTGGCCGGCAACCTTCCGGTTCACTCGCCGGCCTCAGCCTCCGCGGGCTTCTCTGCCTGCGAAAGGCAAAGCAAACGTTGCCTCGCCAAAGACCCGCTTTTGGGGGATAGCCCCTTCTAGGTTGCTTTATCAGGAGAGCCACAGAAAAAGCCAAGGGTATTTTGAGGGCCACCCATATCCCACTTGGAGACAAAACGCGGAAACCCCACTTTGAGGCCATAAACTGGGATCTGCTTCAACGCTCCGGCCCTTTCCCGAATCGGCCTCTGCCGGTTCTAGTTCTTTCTTTCAACACTTTTCGCAGAAACATGTCATGATTTTCAGCCGCAGCCGTTGGCCCAAGTTGAGCTGAGTCGAGTTGATTTGAGCGAAAGTGATTCGGCCTGGTTTTGGAACTGCAACCAAAATGAGCAACCACGGCCAACATGATTCAGCAACTACGACCAACCTGAGCGGGGGCGGGCCGAAAACCTTGAAAACGGCCCCAAAAACTGATTACGACTAAGAATGAGTCAGAAACTACGACCAAAATGAGAGGGCGTTGGGAGTGGGTTCCTCCAAGAGTAATCCATTTGCACTTGGGAGATCTTGGGAGAAAAAATTGGGGCTTGTCCAATTTCGATATTTAAAAGGCAGCCCTGTAAGCAAGTCTTTGAGACAGGGAATTTACCGCTTTCGCAGATGGCACAACATCCGTATCCTGCACCCTACATATCATATGAGTGGAAGAATGAATGCGAGACTTTCTGCCTTTCGCAACGAGAAACACGGTACAAATTGAACACAGCATGTCCTCATATCTATATGGGGGATTCGCCGAGGCTTTCTTTGGGAATTCTGACTGCGTATAATGCAATTGTCTGACCAACCGCCGAACGGGCATTTGTTGAGATTGCCCGTAGTGATTTGGGGGGACGACCTCACACATGAGATTATCAACGCTAAACGAATATGGCATCGCCCCGCCCCAACACAAATCACGGCTTTCGTTTGAAGCCTCCAAAAGGGGGAACGGGCAAATCCGAAAAATGTGGTTTTCCATATAAGTTCCCTTTGAGGCTCCAGAACGCCCCCCTCCCCCCACGCATGCCACCACCCGCCTCCGCCGCGGTTTTTAGGGCTGCCGCCGCGGCTTCATCCTGAAAGTCGCATTCCCGAGCCCCTCTGTAATGCAAATTACTCAGACCACCCATGGGTAAAACGGGCACCTTCTGAAATTTGAAACGAGAAGCCCCCGTCCCAAGGGAAAGGAACAAAGGTAGACCTGGGCAACTGGGATTCCGTAGTCTTACTCTCAGGCTTGCAGTTAGGCTACTGCCGAAGTGCTTGTTGAGGTTCTGCCCTACGCATTGTCAACAGCTTCGCAGACTTTTTGGGGAGGGTATCTTTGTGACGCATGTGCTTTCAATTGAGTGTTGATCCGGGCCGCCCATACGCTCGTAAGCGTGAATGCGCCCATTGATGCTCATGTCGCAGTTAACATGGACGCCAAACTGCCAGAAGGAGACTCCTCAATCATTCGTTTGGGGGTTTCCAAGTTAATCTGCGGATCACAATGTGATTTGGGGGGGACGACCTCACACAGAAGATGATCAACGCTAAGCAATGCTCTCTGACAAAAAATGGCCCCGCCCAGCACAACTCATTGCTAAATTGCACGAGCCCCCTGCGGGAAGGGATGAATAAGTGTTTTCAATACGTTGGGCAGAAAGAAGTAACACCTGCAACCCAGACTAAAAAATTGTAGTAAAACACTTATCCATCCCTTTTGGCAGGGGCTCGACTCAGATACTGCCCTGCAGCCCGCACTCTTTTTTCCGCTTCTCGCATCAAAACTGCACACTACCGTTTCGATTTGAACATCTGGCTGATGTTGCCAGACGGGGGCTCTTTTCTCTTCCGGCCAGCCTTCGCCTTGGGCTCCGGCTTGGGCTCCGGCTTGGGCTCCGGCTTGGGCTCCGGCTTGGGCCGCGCCTTTGCCTTTGCCTTGGCCTCTGGGACTGCAGCCTCACGGGCCTGGCGGGCCTTCTTTTTCGCCACCGCCTCTTGCTGGGGCTGGCTCGCCTTCCAATGGAGGAGGCATTTGGCTCAAATGGTCTGAGGTTGAATTTGATGAAGGCAGGGGGTGGTGGATAAAGCAAGTGAACCAAATAGACAACAGCGCCGTTCCGTCCAACTGCGCCTTGTCGCTGTTCAACTTCGCGTCCGCCTCAGCGCCCGCAGCGCCAGCAGGAGCCTCTGCATCAATCTTCTCGGTCTCCAGCATGCCCTGCGCAGCTATCGAAAAACACAACGTTGTTTGGGGAGGCCGTTGGAATTATGAAGCGTAGGGTAGGGGGTGGTGGCAAAATGAGTGAAGAAACACAACAACATCTATCCGTCCAACTGTGCCTCGTTGCTCTTCAACTTCGCGTCCGGCTCAGCGCCCGTAGCGCCAGCAGGAACCTCTGCGTCAATCTTCTCGGTCTCCAGCACGCCCTGTGCAGCTGTAGAAAATCACAGCGTTCTTTGCCGAGGCCGTTGGAATTATGAAGGGTAGGGTCGGGGGTGGTGGCAAAATGAGTGAAGAAACACAACAACATCTATCCGTCCAACTGTGCCTTGTTGCTCTTCAACTTCGCGTCCGGCTCAGCGCCCGCACCAGCAGGAACCTCTGCATCAATCTTCTCGGTCTCCAGCATGGTCTCCAGCACGTCCTGCGCAGCTATAGAAAATGACAACATTCTTTGGGGAGGCCGTTGTCAGGGTGGGTGGTGGAAAAATTAGTGAAAACCAAGAATACAGCAGCTATCTGTCCAACTGCGCCTCGTTGCACTTCAACTTCGCGTCCGGCTCAGCGCCCGCGCCAGCAGGAACCTCTGCATCAATCTTCTCGGTCTCCAGCACGCCCTGCGCAGCTATCCAAAAACACAACGTTGTATGGGGAGGCCGTTGCTACGATGAAGGTACTGGATAAGAATGAGTGAACTAAATACGTATCAACATCTATCCGTCCAACTGCGCTGTGCCTTATTGCTCTTCAAATTCTCGCTCGGCTGCGCGCCCGCGGCGCCAGCAGGAACCGCTTCCGGGATGGTCTCCAGCAAGTCCTGCGCAGCTACAGAAAATGACAACATTCTTTGGGGAGGCCGTTGTCATTATGAAGGGTGGATAAAAAGATGAACATGTGAATAACAAAATCTATCCGTCCAACTGCACCTTGTTGCTCTTCAACTTCGCGTCCGGCTCAGCAGCAGGAACCTCTCCATCGATTCGTTTGGTCTCCAGCTTCGCGTCGATTTCAGCGCCAGCGCCCGTGTCACCAGCAGGAACCTCTCCATCAATCTTCTCGGTCCCCAGCACACCCTGCGCAGCTGTAGAAATCACTACGTTCAGGATTCAGGCCGTTGTCATTATGAAGGCTGCGGGTGGTGGAAAAATGAGTGAACAAACACAACAACATCAACATCTATCCGTCCAACTGTCTCTTCAACTTCGCGTCCGGCTCAGCACCCGTAGCGCCAGCAGGAACCTCTGCATCAATCTTCTCGGTCTCCAGCACGCCCTGCGCAGCTGTAGAAAATCACTGCGTTCAGGATTCAGGCCGTTGTCATTGTGAAGGGTGCGGGTGGTGGCAAAATGAGTGAAGAAACACAACAACATCTATCCGTCCAACTGTGCCTCGTTGCTCTTCAACTTCGCGTCCGGCTCAGCGCCCGTAGCGCCAGCAGGAACCTCTGCATCAATCTTCTCGGTCTTCAGCACGCCCTGCGCAGCTGTAGAAAATCATAACGTTCTTTGGGGAGGCCGTTGTTATTATGAAGGGTAAGGGTGGTGAATAAAATAAGTGTTGGGTGAACAAAATAAATTAAAAACATCTACCCGTCCAAAATCGCCTCGTTGCTCTTCAACTTTGCGTCCGGCTCAGCGCCCGAGGCGCCAGCGGAAACCTCTGCATCGATCTTGTCGGTCGGAAGCTTGGCGTGTGCCTCAGCGTCCGCGGCGTGAGCATGAAACTCTTTGTCAATCTTCTCGGTCTCCAGCTTCGCGTCCGTCTTTGAGCCCGCTGCATCCGCGGCACCAGGGCCCTCATGGGCTTCCAGTTCCACATCCTGCAACGTTTCCTCAACTTGCCTATGTTTTCAACTTTTGAAGTATGATACTACTTGAGGGTTAAAGGTGAGGGTTTAAAGATTGGTGGAGCAGTTGGTGGAGCTTTATAAGGGACATCAAGATCACTGCCTACGGCCTACGGCGACTCCGCCAGACCTAAAGCAGGCACGAAGTACTGTACGGCACTTTAGGCTATTGGGTTGAAGGCTTAGATATTTGTGGACCAAGAGCACTGCCCAAGGCCTACGGCGACTCCGCCAGACCAAAAGCAGGCATGAAGTATGATACTACTTGAGGGTTAGAGTTGAGGGTTTAAATATTGGTGGAGCAGTTGGTGGAGCTTTATAAGGGACATCAAGATCACTGCCTACGGCCTACGGCGACTCCGCCAGACCTAAAGCAGGCACGAAGTACTGTACGGCACTTTAGGCTATTGGCTATTGGGTTGAAGGCTTAGATTTTTGTGGACCAAGAGCACTGCCCAAGGCCTACGGCGACTCCGCCAGACCAAAAGCAGGCATGAAGTATGATACTACTTGAGGGTTAGAGTTGAGGGTGACGCTTTGGCCAGCACTCATATGAAGCCCCAGCCCTGGCGCCGGGCTAGCGCTGCCGGTGGGATTTACATGATTTAGGTGGGGGCCCGCTTCATTTCGAAAAGGAAAAGCCAAGACGCAACAGGAATTATGCACGTACTGTATGTAGCTCCTTAGCCGGCCTTTTTGAACGGAAGCCATATGTATATATATATATAACATACATCTGCCATCACAAAGGTCCCCTTGCACATGCCCCCCAAGCTAGCAGCTGGCGCCGGTGCTCGGCCCCTTCTTGGGTGAGATTCTTATAACCTTACCAATTTCCGGGAATGATTTACATGGACACTCCCACCACTCAACTCACCTACCTGCAAGATAAACTCGGACTCGGAAACATAAAGCAGAGTCAAGATTGCCAGCCAACTCAACTCAACCTGAAACCGGGGGCCAAAACAAGTGACATCGCCCACGCACCTCCTGCTCGCTGTCACTCCCCCGGCGGGCGGCCATGTCCAGGATGCTGGGCACTGGCGGTTGTGCTTCCGCGACCGGGACACACTTCAGGAAGAGCTCCGTGTAGTTCTTCACCCTTACCTGATACACAAGCATCCCGAGATCCGAGACACGATGCCATCGCAACCACTCCTTTCAATTGCCACTAGCACTGAAACAGCGAGTCTTCAATAAAGTTGGCCTGGTCGGCCACCATTCGCAAGGAGGCGTTGCACTGGTCTGGCAAGTGCATCCCGAAGATCCTGCAGAGTGTGGGAGGCAAGCATCGATACGATTGGAACGGGTGCCAGCAAGACCAACCTTGGACAACCGCACCAGCCATGCCAGCCTCAGGGCCACGTCAGTGTCGTGCACCGCTTTTTCCAGCAGCAGGTACCCGCCCGGCAGCACTAGGACGTCTCCTGTCCGAAGAAACACTGCGCCCAACGAGGGCATCGCAAGTTCGTCTGGCACGTCTTTCGCCTGGAGCGCCTGCATGTGACGTCGTATGTCTTGCAGGCTCTCCGTACGCCAGAACGTGGATGCCTCCAGAGCAGAACACGCGATGAGCATCTTGCCTCCGGTGACTTGTAGTCGGATTGTTGGCAGCGCCTGCGCATCAATGCCATTGTAGGTGGTCCCCTCGCGGCTGCCCAGCAACCACACACCCCGAAGGCTCTGCATGGCTGTGTCATCCTCGGAGTTCTTCTCAAGTTCAGCCTCCTGCAAGCTGCAGGGCCCCACCATTATCAACCATAGCTGAAAAGCAAGCAGAACTTGTGGCAAACATTCCGCCTACACCCCTTGCTTGACACCAGAAAACAAAGCCGAAGTTATTGTCAACAACCGGCGTGCAGCGCATCCAGCGAACGGCAAAAAAAATCACGGGGCTGGAATAACCACCTGCCACCGACATGTGCGCGAAGATCATTTCCAGGCCAAAGCAAAAGGATGAATGAAATAATGACCTTTGTCAGAATAGCAACCCCAATCCCAAGCAGGTCGTAATGAAATAA